GTGGGTTAAAACTGCCATTCAGTGGTGGAGCAGGACTCAGGCCTTTCATTTTTCCTCCCTTCAGCCTGGGCTCTGTACCGAATGTGTTTGTAGACCTTGCGGTTTCTGAAATCAAAGTCGCAAACACAGTCACGTAACTAAACTCTGCATGAATTACTACACTGTGTGTGGTAGTTTAGTGGGAATGTGTCATATCAATTTTGGCTCTTGTATAAACAATTAGGCTTTGGCAGTGTGTATTGCAGCTTGATTGAAAAAAGCTCCCGATAAATGAAATTACTATGTTTCATTTCATAATTATGCTAGGCTTTTTAAATGGCCATAACGTGCCTTCTTTAAAAAAAAAAGAAACGTGATATGCAAACATACTGTGTTGCAACATAATGCCAACGTGGTCATGTCTGACTATCAGGAGCAATTTACATCTTTCTGTACTTTTAAGGCAGATAAAGGGTAGGCATATGTATGTATTTATATATATACATATATATGCGTGTATGTATGTTCTGGATACTCCACGTAGCAGTAGTGTGGGTAGGTCTACGTGGAATCTCCTTTGCTCACGCAGTGGTCTGTGCAGATGAGAGCCAGCTCTCAAGAGGGAAGCACAGAGCCCTGTCAGACCGGTGCCGGAGCTGCTGAGCCCCAGCAGTAACGTCGGAAGCAGGCCAGGGCTTTTTGTGTTTATGACCTTCTCTGAATTGTGTGAAACTTTATTCTGTAAAATACTGGTCTCTCATTTGCAGCTGACCAAACCAAATGCCCTGGTGGCATTTCCTAGATTGCTTCAGAGAGCTCCAGCCTCCATACTTGTGTCAGTGGTAGCGAGATGGGGAGAGGTAGTGAGAGGTCCTGCAGACAGGCTGCTGTAAATGTGGAAACAGTCTGAAAGAATTGAAATGGAATATGAAAAAAAGCTTGGAGGGGACTGGTAGTCTTGTGATCTTGAACTGAGCAACATTATTTGTTGTTTCCAGGTCTGATTCAAAAACAGAAGGAAATACTGGTCTTGTCCTTGAAATTATTTGAATTCCATAGTTATACAACTGTCACTGCTCCAAAATACTGATAAGTCATTACTGTCTTGACTCCACTTCTTCTTTATGGTTCATTTGCACTTGGCCACAAGTAGGGTGAGGGGAAATGCAGAAATGTCAGGGAAATGCTATCGTAGAGAGAGAATGGTGATTTATTGCCTTCCCCTTACATGTGCAACTGTTTTTCAGTGGTTCTTATTTGAAGTATTCCAGAATAACAGCAGGTGGAAGGGACCTCAGGAGGTCAGCTAGTGCAGCCGCCTGCTCACATTGCCCTGGTGAGTTTTAAATATACTCAGGGATGGGGATTCAGCAGCCTCTTGGTGTGAGCTGCTCGGCCACCCCCAGTATGGACCTTTTCTTCTTGTGTCTGTTGGGATTTGCCCCGCTGGTGACCATGGCCTTTCAGCCTATCGCTGTGCGCCTCGGAGAAGGGTCTGGCTCTGTCTTCTCTGCAACCCCATGAGGTAGTTCTTGTTTCGAGGTAGTTCTTATTTCCATTTAGAAGATGCTCAGTGGTTCCTGTGACTTTCCTTTGCCCTTATCTATTTTTTCCCCTAATCTTAAGATGAGACTGGGTGATAGTTATTCAGAGGTGAGGTGAGACATTAGTGAGCTTACTGTCTCTTATCTCCACCTTGCACTTTGGTGCCTCCAGCCATCTGTGTAGGCAGCATGGAGAATGGGGAAGAAGCCACCCCTCAATGAGTAATATTCTGATGAAATTAATAAATCTAGTGTCTGAATATGAGGTTATAAGTGAAAGGCTCAGTAAGTGCTTATGAAAGGAAGGAGATGATCTGCCTAGAGATGTTGAACCCTCAGAGAGGGATGACAGTAGTAGAGTTGATTGTGAAAAGTGAGGCACTGGCTCCCTGCATGATATCCTCTCCTAGCTTCAGGGTGTTGGGATCGTTCCTGTGCCCAGGCAGCGCAGGGGCCAGCCTCAACTAAGGAGGTAAAACCATAGTCTGTGCGTGCTGAGCTGTGTGTATGCTTGTCATGATCACGGCCCTTTGCCTATTGCCACCTGCTCTGGAACGTGCTGTCAGGGAAAGGATGCTCTTGTCACGTCTAGGTGGGTAACACAGGCAGTGTGAAAGCCCCAAAGCATAGCCTGAACGGCTGCTTTATGCCCTCCTCCCTGATGAAGATACTGCTAGCAACAGCGAGCTGTTGTGGGACACTGAGGCCCTGCGGCTTAAATAGTTGCAGGGAGCACTGCGTGTAGGGCTCAAAGCCATCTGTGCCACACCAATGGGGATCTTCTTCCTCAGGTTCCCACTGGGATGAGTTGCCCTTCCCTGCTCCTCATCACACTGTCCTGACCAGCACTGCGGGCTGGTCAGCCCTGGGGGAGATTTGATTTGGGATCAGTTTTAACAGCAAATATTTCCTTCTGTTACCGTGCTTCTCTCTGTTAATAATGTGAAAACGTGCTGCCAGTTCCAGCTCTCGGGAGCAGCAGCAGCAGGAAGGCAGCTGCTGGGGATGGCGATGCACATGCCTCGGTACCAGGCTCGCGAGCTCCGGCTGCTCCGTGTGGGTGCAAGCTCGGCCCGTCGGGCTCCGTACTGGCTCAACGTGGGCTCTGGGTGGGAGCTGGGCCTGGCAGACCTCGGGCTTGTCCTCCACAGCCCAGCCCAGTGGGTCGCTCAGGAGGCCACTGTGCTGCTTCGGCCATGCCTTTTTGGTGGTTGTTTTGCCTGCGGACCGTGCGGCAGCTGCACCAGGGTTTACCGCGCGACGGCTGCACCAGGGTTTACCGCGCAGTGCTGTGTGCTGTGGGGGAAGCTGGCAGTTCCCAGTGCGGACGTCTTTCAGTTCCTGCGCTATACACAGCTGAAAATCACCAGGTGCTTGCTAGGCAGCAAACGGTTATTGCAGTAAAGTCATCTTTCCATCATGTGTCCTTGTTTTCACAAGAGTAAAGGGAAATGATAAAATCCCGAGAAGAGATGCGGTGCAGAACGCCGAAGTGGAGCCCACTGCAGAAGGCACAAACTGCTAGCAGTCGGTTTGTTAAAGTGTCCTTTCCTCTGCTCATCCGCAACATCATTGTATAGCTTGAGGAAAGGAAAGCAAGGCTGCCGGGATTTGCAGAGCTGGGGGCTCGAGGGGCCCTTGCCAGCCAGCTGCTGGGGAGCGAGCACGGGGGCAGAAGCACTCAGGCTGCTTTGCTCCTGCTCCCGCTCTCGTCTTACGTGTATTTTAAGTCCTAGTTGTAACTCACAGATAGTTTACTTTCATAAATGTGGGGTTTTTTTTTAAATCATTGCTGAAGCTACAGAAAGGGGATATGGCCTTCCGGGGCTTAAAAATTGCTTCCTGATTCTTACTGAATTTTTTTTGGCTTAGAAAGCTGAAATACCTCTAATGGAAGTACACGCAAGCACATGCCCTAATGAGAAACACTTTGCCCCGTGTGCAGCTCTGTCTCTTTGAGGCATTTCACCCACGCGTTCAGGTTGTGGTTTGACTCTCAGAACCACTGGTTTTGATCATATTCCACGATTTATTTGTTGAAGCTTGTGTTGCTTAAGGCAGTTCCTCTCTGATTTGCCCATTTAGTGGTCAGTGTTTGATGGTCTGTTTGCAGTGTTTTGGGAGTCCAGTGTTTGCAAAAATGGTTGGGGGAAAAAATTGAGAGAAAATATGTTAATTTCTTGTAGATGGTGCAAAATATGCCTTTGACAGGGAGAAGGCTAAGGCATCTGGCATGATAATGAGGGATTAAAATCTCTCTTTCCTAAATAAGTTTTTCGATGTTCTTCTACCCATTGAGTGGCTAGCTGCTAACACCTGTCTTAACTCATTTTCAGGATTATTTATAAATGCAATTAGTGCCCAGAAACTATCATTATGTCTTGCACGTTACTACGTATCCAGAGTCCTGTAATGGTTTAAAGTGGATTAAATTAAGATCAAATAAGAGAAGGTGATGTGGTACTGCTAATTTACTTGGGAAATGCTGTGCGTTAGTGGCTTCTAAAAAACCCTGTTACCACAGCAAGTTCTTTGCATTTCACTATTTGCCCAAACTCCAAAGTCCTGGGATCATTTGATGATGTGTTTTGCCTGTTGCAGAATTAATGTCTGGTGTTCTCCGATGAGATTACCGTTCTTCTATATTGTAGGGAGCATGCTTTCCCACCTTGCTAAGCGTTCATGCCAGTTCAGAATTTACACAGCATTTGACCTCAGCTTATTCTGTAGGAATGTATTTCCTTCTGTAGCAGATGCACAGTACCCGCTGAAAACTGGCAATAAAATGCCAAAAATGCAATGAAATCAAGGTTTCCACTCATCCTGCAGTGCACCCATCGGGTCTGTGCCTCTCCAGCATCTCTCATAATCAATCCATCCCACATCCACATCAGAAAATGCTCCCAGTGCACTGCAGAAATCTCCTGAATTGCTTGTGCCCTACTGTGTTGCTCTTCCAGCAGATCTGGAGTGGTGACAGTCCTCAGTGAGAGCTGTGGCCTGTGACCATGCGCTTCTTTCCACTTGTTCAAATTCTTCCTCTACTTGCTTGGCAGAATGTAGCAGAAGCCCACCATGACATCCCCCTCCAATGCTGACCCGTAAGCCCTCAGAGCTGGTAGTAGAAACGCTGCGTCATTGGGAATGCTGTTACACGGGCTTTGAAAAAATTACCTGACCCCTGTCCTCACTCACCAGCGACAGCAGCCACCAGGGAGCTGCCCATCGCGTGCCCAGCCGCGCGGCGCACGGCTTCCTGGGCAGCAACCCCAAATCTAATGTGCCGTCTGCGATACTGATGTTAGCATAAAGGTAACTGGTGTCACTCGTGGCCTGCCCAGCGGCTCGAAGGGCAGTGGTCAGGAAGCCTTTTTCTAGCAACACTGTGCAGTGAAAGGAGTCAACTGTTTGTGAGGGTTTCGAGTTTTTCGGGAATCGGTAATAGCTCTTGTATTTCTCAACGTTTCGCTGCAGCCAGCCACCTGCCTCGCCCAGCACGCAAGAAGCGATCCAGGGCATGCTATCGATGGCAAACCTCCAGTCATCAGAGTCCTGCCTGCAGACGTCGTGGGGTACCAATCAGGCCAAGAATAACTCCATCTCCACACAAAACTCTAAAAAAACAGGTGGTGGCAGCAACAGAAATGCCGGCAAGCGGTTACTAAAGAAAAGCACAAAGAACAGTATTGACATCGAAGATTACGATGAAGACCAGGACCACTTAGATGCCTGTTTTAAAGATTCAGATTACGGTAAGTACAAACAGAGCAGTCTGAGTGAGTGTGTGCTGGGTATGCATGTACATATTTGTGCATGTTTGCAAATGCCCCCCATGTTTCTCATGATACGCTTGCTCACTTTCTGTCACATTGAAATCAGCTGGGTGTTCTGGTAAGGAGGAGTGCAGATAACAGAATTTAGGTCTGCATGGCAAAATTAAGCAAACACTGTATGATAGGTAGACTGACTGCAGAGCTGGTGGCGATATGGTTTGTCCAGGTAGACTGTATTTGAGGCACATTACAATCAGAAGATTTTAAGAAGCGTGAAGGCCCACTGAAACTGCAGCAGTCAGCCAAGAAACAGGAAACTGTCCCAGAAGTGTGTGTCAGGTACTGGTACCTATGACAGAAATGTCCTTGTCGACACATTAGCAATAAAATGTCTAGCTAAGAAGAGTGACAAGTTGAATTTGTATGTGGAAAAAAAGATCCACTGGTATTGTGAGTATTTGCAGAGAAGGCAAGCATGTGAAGCAGAAATGGGCACAAAGGCAGTTTGCACCAGTTATATCAGTTCTGCCCTAATAATCTGCAGGAGCATTTTTGGATATAACAAGTGAGGAAATGAAGAAAAGTAATCATGTGAAGACTGATAGGGACTGGAAAGCCTGAAGTCCCAAAGAGGGCAAGAAGTTGGTAGAGGTTTATGCTGCATAACGGGAGAGTCGATATGTGTGTGTGCTTAAGTCTCTCTGGCAAGCACGGCCATCAGAAATCATCTGCTATGACTGCAGAAGTGGAGTGTGTGTTTTCACATTATTCACAGAGTTGCCAGGGCAAAATGGAGATGCTGTGACATGTTGCAGAAGAAGGCTGCCCAGCCTTCTAGAGTGCACTGCATGGGCTGGGATGCAGTGGTAGTGGTGGAAGGTGCTTTGGGAAAGGGCAGCTCATGAAGCTGTTGGGCAGGCGTGTGGTTTACAGGCAGATGCCACGCGTGATGCCAAGGCTCTGCTCTGCTGAGGGGTGGATTTGCTCATTATGAGCAAATGTGTCTGTGCTGCCAGTGAATGGAGAGTCTTTACTGTGAGCAGGCTTGGTTTCCAGAGGCTCTGTTTGTGCCACATCTGATCAGCAGACTTCTCATGTCAATGGCCAAATGCCACAGCAATGCCTACATCACCAGTGGTGTAACAAATGGCAACTGGCAAGAAAGTCAAATGCGTGTGAAAAAAAAAATACATAAACTTCATAGTAAAGGCTGGGACAAAATTTAGACAGCTAAGTTGGTAAGTTTATCCCAGAGGCCTGTGAAGGGTCCTTTGGTAGAATGGTTCACGTTCATCTTCTGGATACTCCGAGGTCAAGGAAAGCAGTTTTCAAGGTCTATGTGAACAGCGCTATGTCCCTCCTCTCAGCCTAGCTCTGCTGGAGGGGTACGGGCCGGCAAGGTGTGGTGCTGAATGAAGCAGTTGGCTGACCAGCGAAGCCTGGCATAAGAAAACCTGTTTGTGTCTCTTCTGGCTGTGCCGCTGTGCCACAGACAAGAGGAAGAGTGATTTTTCCTGTCTGAGAAGTTTCACTGTGTATCCTAAAGGTAGCTGGTCACAGTTTAATGACAGCAGCCCCTAAGTATAGTGTGTGGATGAGAGCAGGAGGAAGTCCCGAGTGTTGCAGCTGTTTCACCACTCGGAGGTACCTCTGGGGAACCTTGCGATTCTCGAGGTGATGCCTGTAGTCACGGCACCTGTACAGAGGCAAGTGGGCCTCTCTGCAGGGTAGAGCTGTTTCCTACACTGAAACTCTTGCCTTTGTTTCCTTTTGTAGTTTACCCTTCTCTCGAATCGGATGAAGATAATCCAGTATTCAAATCCCGATCAAAGAAAAGGAAAAGTTCAGATGATGCCCCTTACAGTCCAACGGGTAAGTGCATATGGGCTGTGCTGCCCAGACTCAGGCTAAGTCGTGCAGGTCTCTAAAAAACCTGACACTTTTCAAAGAGTGTGGAAATTGTAAGACCACAACTAGCAATTTCTTGATCATGTGAAGGATGAATCCTTTCCAGCGTAGTGGGAGGTGATATCATGCGCTGGGACGAGCAGTGTTAGCCTTCCTCTGTCAATCAGCTGGCAGGAGAAAGTCATTCCTGGGTGAGTTGTTGGTTTAATTTTTCTTCACACTCTTGTTGATGGAACAATTGGTGGCCACCATAGCAGTGGTATAACACTGAAACCCCAGACAGCTGAGTAGCCGTGGCTTTTAGGTGTTGACTGTGTAAAGAGAAATCAGAGTGTGGGAATAGTCTCCTCCAGGTTCAGCCAAAGCTGGAGGTCTGGGAGGGTGTTTTTCTTGCAGCTCACCAGAGGCAGTGACAGGCCAGGGGGTCCTTAGACTCCTTGGACGTGGCCCTCTAACAGGGGAGTCTCTGCAGCTTGCTATGTGTGTGACAAGCAGCCCAACTCTCATCAGTTTGTGGCCCTGCATGTCCACACCCTGCCAGTGGGGTGGCGAACACTGTCCGTTTGGAAATGATGCTGGAGTTGCTCATATCTCTAGTGCAGGCAGAAACCTCCCGTGGCTTTGGCTTCAGGTAGCTGCAGCTGCCAGTGGAGTTGCTCAGCTGTGCTACACATTTATTGGCAGCTTCTCCCCGGGCCACTGTGACCGGAGGCTGTCAGCACCTCCTGCCTTCACGCACATCCTGGGGAAGGAAGGGCAGAGGCTGCGGCATCCCTGGCCCTGCCTGCGCAGGAGGGCAGAGCCTCGCTGCCCCATGTGTGGTTACGCTGCTCACATGGGCAGATTCTGCACATCTCACTTGCATCTGCTTTCCTTGTAGCACGAGTCGGCCCCTCAGTGCCTCGACAAGACAGACCAGTGCGAGAGGGCACCAGAGTCGCCTCCATTGAGACTGGACTCGCTGCTGCTGCCGCGAAGTTATCACAGCAGGTGAGGTTGCTTGAGAAGTTGTAGCTGTCAGGAAATGAAAGCCCTCTCCCCTGGCAGCACAGTCATGCCCAAATAGCAGTGTGGTGCCAGTCCTCCTCAGTGTTTATTCGTGCCAGTGACACAAGGCTCAGCAGTCTCAGGGGAAATAAATGGGATGAAAGTCCAATAGTGTTGCAGCGTATCTGCCAATGCCGCAGTGCAGAGCGCGCGATGTATCAGAAGTGTAGAGAAGTATGAGCGAGCGAGCGTAGCTACCAGGCTAAGACAGAAGGAGGCTGCCCAAAAGGAGTGTGCATGAACCGCGTATTGATGTGTGTTTGAGAGTGGTGTGATTGCCTTGTCTGTGGAAATCAGCTGCTGGGAAGCATAAGGATTTAATTCCAAAGATTTGGTGAACCGTGGGTAACTATAGGTCAGTTTAGCAAAGATATTGAGGCACTTTGGGTGTTGATAAGTGTCTGGTCTCTGAAGAGGTCAGAGAGATGCTAAGCACCTAATGCACATAGGCTCTTCAAATGTGACACCATGAGGCGCGAAGGTGACAAGGTCCACTGGAGCAAGGTTGGCGAGGCACTTTGGCAAGCTGCTGGAGATGCAGGTTTTGGTGGCATTGGGCCTGTGATGCATATTGTTGAGTAGAAGAGTTCTAAGAATGGTGGTAGGGTTTCATCAAGAGGCGGACTGAAAGTAGGCAAGGGAAACAGGATGGTGACAGACCACTGTTCTCATGGCATGTATGTGCAAGTGCAGATACAGGTCAAGAGGTAATGTGTGTGTCCTAGCAGGAAGCAGAGCCTGTGAATCAGTGGGATGTTTAATATCCTCCATGCTATTGTGAAAGTGTGTGAAGATACCTGAAGATAGGAGGTGCCAGTTTTTGTGGAACATCGAAAGGTTTGTTCATGCAAAACCACGCGGGCGTCCCAAGGCAGGGTCGTTTTGGTCCTGGCTGGCTCCCACTCGCCGCAGTGTACACAGAGTTAACAAACAAGGAGGCTCTGCAGAAAGCGCGTACGTAGATGCAAGAAAGGCAAATGTGTGCGGGCAGCAGCGCGAGCTGTGAGCGAGATGGTATCGGAACAGACCCTGAGCAGTTTGTACGTGGCAAACTTCGTGGGTTTTCGTTGTATCAGGACCCTAAGCAACGCCGCTGGCCCTTGCCGTAGCTAAAGGTCTTCTGGGGATTAATCTGAGCTTCATGTTTGTCATTTTAAAGGAGGAACAAAAAGGCAAGAAGAAAAAAAATACCAAAAAGAAGCTGTCAACCAACAACGCGAACAAACCGGCTCAGGAAGGCAGCTCGCCAGAGCCGAAGCTGGAGTCACATGCCAGCAGCCTCACAGATCACGAGTACACCGCAGGGGCCAGCACCTTTGGGGTCGCCCAGCCTAACAGGGGATCGCAGCCGATGGCACCGGGTGTTTTCCTCACACAGAGGAGACCCTCTTCATCCTCGCAGAACAATGCCTCCGCCAAAGGTACCAGGAAACGCCTGGGGTTATGGTGTAGGAATGGGGAAGGGTGAATTGGTTGTGTAATCCGTGCCTTTTACAGGGCCCTCACATGTTGTGTCTCTCGTGGGTATGTAGAAGTGCTTCAGCAGGTCAGATCTGGTCAGAGATAGGGCCCGTGGCCTTGGCTGTCTTGGCACTGTGGGCCCAAATATGTGTTCTGCTGCTGGGCTGTTTGTTGCAGGGTGTGAGGCATCCCATGCTAGGACGTACTCCTGAGCATGCCCTGAGGCTCCTGAGGAACACCTGCAGTGGGCACATCACAGTCCAGCCTGTCTGGTGAAGCCTTGTCCAGGGGAAGATGCATCTTCATGTGAAGGCTGTTCTGCCCAGGGCTAGGTCAGGCACTGCTGTGGTTCGGTGGTGGTTGTACACCAGTACCTATGCTGCCATGTACATGAGGACATCCCACCCAGCGAGCGTAGAGCAGTGCAAACCTGTCTTGAGAGTTGCCACAAGGGAGCAGAGGAGTGTCAGACCTTGGGAGTAACACAGCTACACAACCAAAGGCAAGAGAGAGGAAGAGGTTGCTTGTTGTCTGCCGGAGGGAAAGCGTTACAAAGCTGAGGCTGTCCTGGAGTTCTGGGCTAGGACCTCCTATTCTCTGCTTGAACTTTGCTCAGAAAGCGTGGCTGAGGCAGGCGTGTGGGACAGGTTAGCGTAGTGTGAAGATTTAAGTGCGTGATCCCACTGGGAGAGGCCCTGATGTAAAAAGTGAGGCAACGTGGCAGATCTTTCCTGCGTTCCCCTATATTTGAGGGGAGCAAATTAGGGGTCGTGCACAGTGTCCTGCCAAACAGTAAAACATCAGAGCAGCTTGAATAAGCCACACAGGAGGATGAGCATAGCCTGTGGGAGGTGCCGGGGTCTTGCCAGGAGCTGGTAACGCCTGTGGCTGGCTGCAGAACCGGAGTGAAATGAACATATTTGCCTGGAATTGTGTCTTTGTGGTGAAATGGTGGCATTAGTGAAACAGGTCCAAGCCAGTGGAAGATGTGATGGGAAGAGGAGTGCTGAATGGAGCCAAACCCCAGTCTGGCTGGTGAGCTGGGTGGCCCAGTCAGGCAATCATGAAGGGAGCCTGACCAGGCACATGGATCACACCTTGCCTGTGGTATAGCTCAGTCCTGACAGGAGGGAAGGAGCCATGTGCCAGGAAAGCGAGCAGCTGACCTGTCAGGGGGCAGAGCACCTTCAGGGCCTCCTGTGCAGGGTCTTGGGACAGCTGGGGGCACCAAGGGGACTTCAGGGCGTCTCTCTGCATGGAGCACAGGAGCGTCCTGAGCCTGGGGACTACCACATTGGGCATCACTGGGAATGAAGGGACTGTGGAAGGAGATGGTGGGATGAAGCAGAATTGTGGAGCTCTAGGACCTCCTCAGGGAGGTCTCTCAGTCTTAAAGAGTGAGGCGAAAGGATGAGAAATGAGGAAACTTCCCCTGGAAAGTGTCACCCACACTGTCATGGTCTTTAAGGCTGGGGCACTTAATGCAGGTGGGAAAAGTGGAGAGGAGCCGAGTCTCTGCAAGTACCACACAAGAGTGCACCAATGGCGGCATGATGGGGAGAGAAGAGGCTGCGTGGGTGTGTGTTGTGCCCGGCAGCCCCACGTGCCTTGGCGACCAGGGGAGTTTCTGGCCGTAATGTGGCAGGTCGCTGGCGAGCAGTGGGGCAGCAAGCAGCTGTGGAAGCTGCACGGGTCCCAGGACTGCTACGTGGGGACCGCAGAGCCCCTGAACCGCCCTGCTCACAAGCAAGGGCCTGGGCTCGTGGTAGTGGCGTCCTCTCATCGGTACGGGGACAGGGAAGGTTGTCCACCAAGGTAGTGCCTTGGTGCTAGCCTGAATCTAGGAAGTGTGAGTGTGAGTGTGCGTGCGCGCGTGCGGCTTTTCAGTGTCCCTCTGGCGAGGCTGGATGCAGGTGCAGAGAGGGCAAGCAGAGGCGTGGAGCTGCAGTCGTCCCTGGCTTGGTCTCAGTGGATGGGAAGCGATCAGGCCCCCTCGGGGCAGCGCTCGGCCCAGAACTCACGGCGGCATGCGAGCTCGGCACCGCAGTGCCCAGAGGTCCCTGGGCAGCCTGCGGGCACGCGGC